CCCCCCCCCCCCTAGGGACGGCCACCCCCCAAGTCACCCTAATGTACCCCCCCCATCCCAAAGACCTCATTTTCCTAATTCGAATGGTCTAGGGGGAGATAAAAAAATTACGGTAATATATATGTGTCCCACCCCCAGGGACACCCACCCCCCAGGTCAAAAAAAAAAAAAAAAAAAAAAAAAAAAACGTTAGTTAGGCTGCTAAACAACGAATAGGCCTACCCCCCCCCTTAGTCTTATAATCCGGTAACCTATGCGTAAATTATGTTTTCATAGCCTGGTTTACCTGATCCATTAGTTTTATGCATCAAGCGGATCTGGGAAGGGAGGGCCCAGGGGGTCTGGACCCCCTTTTCTTCAACGCTGACCATAATGTCCCATAATGTACTGATTTTTAGAAATACTGAATCCTCACCTACATACGCCTGTGTATTTTAAAATTACTCAAAACATGCATCCAATACCACTAAAGAAACCCTATTCAGTCATACATGTTAATTAAAACGTACAGTTTACCTTTTTTGGATAATTTTTACAGTACAAAAACATTATATTTCAAAAACGTTCTCTCTCATAGCGTTGGGCCAACAACAGGTACTATTTCACCATTATCCCATGAAGTCGCAGGCAATATCTTATGTGGAGATGAAGTCGCAATTTATCCTATGAAGTCGATTTGACAGTAAAATCAGAGCATTTATCCCATGAAGANGAAATAAGCACCATACAGTGATGATACTTAGAAACGATACACTCATCACGGCCGACTAGTCACTACATCAAAATAAGTGAAATGTCATATGATATGTATCATATAATAAAACTATTCACTCACTTGCAGGTATGTTACTCCCATTTCCTCGTTGGTTAAGTTCCTAAAGGCAGAAATAAGTTTCCGTGCCTCCCATTGCAGGTTAATTCCTTCCATTAGCATCTTCTTAGGATCAACTTGCTCTCCTGAATTTGCATACGTCCACTCGTCCTCATTAGAATATGAAGGAGTTTTAATACTTGTGTATCCTTCATTTCGTAACTTGAGGGCGTCAGACTCCGTAGCACCGGGAGAAAATTCTTTATCTTGTGTAGAACAAGTCCTTTCAGATAGCAAAGCCAAAAGAAATATGCAAACATTGCACCAAACAACTAAACCTGCAGCGGCCATCTTGGATTTTGATCTCAAGTTGACTTGATAATAACTTAATATTCCTCATACCAACCTGGCCATCTGGACTTAGAACTTCATAAACAAAATTTCTGATGGTCACCTGTATTCTTAACTTTTGTGGTGTCCCTTTCTTATCTTTGGATGATGGGAAAACATCCTCCACAATGTGGCGTACATTGTTGGACACCAAATCCTCAACGATAGAGCTAGCACTTTATTCCAAGTTAGTTTCAGATACGAAACTAAAGTCTTGAATAAGGCATTTGTAAACAAAAATGGCTGCGCCCATGATAAGGTTCTCAGCTGAAGGACTTTCTTGTAAAATGTGCGCATTGAGGTCGTTTTGTTCTGCCTTTACATCTAAAAAATATCGGAATACGTCACAGAAGCAGACTCTTAGGAAACAGAGGGTTGACGTCGTTAGCCCATCACGTTTCTTTCGAACTGCATCAGGTAAAATATTTGAAGCGTTTCGTAATGACCGCACGCTGACAGAGTAACACACCTTCACAAGTGCCTGTGGTTTCATCTAGCACAGAATCCATGTCTTAGTACTTTTAAAAACAGAATTTTTAATTTTTTGCTTCATCCACGCTCAACTGTCACCACATTTGGTTACAATCAACCTGGTTTTTAAACCTTAAAACCTTCTGAAAACTGCACTTGTCTGACATAAAATATAAATAAATAAATAAATAAAAATAATTATTATTATTTTAAAAAATTGAATTAAATCAATATAACTCCGAATAGACCATTAGTCCAAAGTAAGGTTTGCTTGTGAAACAGAATCTTACATAAAACAAATAAATAAGTAAATAAAACAGAATCTTACATAAAAAAATAAATAAGTAAATAAATAAATAAATAAATAAATATAATTATTATTTTTTCAAAAAATTGAATTAAATTGATATAACTCTGAATAGACCATAAGTCCAAATTAAGGTTTGCTTGTGAAACAGAATCTCAAAAAATAACCATGAAAACCCTATTTAAACAGAAGCTAACTTTGGAAAAACATCAAACTGAGTAAACCTACCTGGGCTACATCCTCCAGTAAATCTGATGTTTGGATTCCCTGAGTCAGGTCTTGAGGCCTGTCTATACCAAATATATGATGGAAACACCTGATTGCCGTTGGAGGACTTGGGAAAGTCTCAGTGACAAACTGTCAGTATTAAACATGAGCTTGTAGTTGCCCAATAGATTTTCAACTCTCAAATTGAAATATAGTGAAATACACATGGGATTTGTCACAAAGTATAAGGTTTGGGCATGACCACATAGTTTAAATTTCTGTTTGAAGATTTCTTAAGTAGGGTAATATATATACTCAGTATGAAATTGGCAAATTGAAAAAATTGGCCCTGCAGCATACATACTTATAACAGTAACAGTATATATGTATATGTTGTGAGTTTACAGAACATATGATAAAATCAAATGATTGTAGATTACCTAAGGATGAAAAAAATGGGACAACTGTCTAAATTAACCACTAATCTGACTGTAATTGTGAAGTATTTACTTTCACTAGATGGCCATCAGTGAAAGATAGACATTAAGTATCAGATTTTGATTTTAAGCTTCTTGGTATCCTCTACATATTATATATTCTTACATATTACACAGGTCCCCTGCTACATGGAGAGTATGAATGGGAGGACCCAAAGTCTGAAGATGAAGTGTGAGTATGACAGTTGTGAATATATCTTTTTTTTTAGTATGCACCTTATAAATTACATGTCATATAGTAACATTATACACAGAATTTATAATTTACCTTACAGGGTCAATATTGTGGTGATAGACAAGAAAGGAAATAGGAATCCCATCAGAGGCAAAATTGGTGATAATTGTCTATACCTTGCTAAAAGATACAACATGGAAATTGAAGGTTAGTTTTCCATATTAACTTTTTATCTTGTGAGATAGTCCAGTTTACTAAGTGCCCCAGTACAGACTATCTCTAAAGTATACCACTTATGTGAGAAGGGTCTTCTTGTTTTTTTGTAGGTGCTTGTGAAGCTTCCCTAGCCTGCAGCACATGCCATGTTTATGTGCATGATGATTATTTAGATATTTTACCAGAACCAGATGAAAAGTAAGTTTTATAGTGTATTATTTCATTACTCTCACATAAGATTTTTAAATTTAGTTCTTTGGTAATGTGTACTTAAAAATACCAAGCAACAGGAATCTTGTTTTTGAGTTTGTCTTTGTCAGTGTAAACAATGTTTATGTTTCAGGGAGGATGACATGCTGGACATGGCACCTTTTTTAAAAGAAAATTCAAGATTAGGTAAAAGATATCCGTGTGATTTCAATGTATTAACAAGCATTTATGAAAGAATTAACTCTTAGTATTTTATAACAGTAAATTTTGTATTTATTTTCCAGCAAACATTGATCAGTATGTTTATTTATCTTTGGCATTTTGAATCATGTAATGTCATAACATTAAAAAACATGCTGTTCAACCAGCCAGTTGATGTTTAATTTTGATCATAAAAAAGAATGCATTTTATTTTTTTCAAATAAAGCATGTGTGTTTTATACAGTTTACATGCAAGAGGAACCTCACAAAGTTTTAATTTACTTTTTCAGGTTGCCAAATTATATTAACTAAAGAAATGGAAGGAATGGAATTGACTCTTCCATCAGCAACTAGAAACTTCTATGTAGATGGTCATGTTCCTCAACCTCACTAGCAATTCCAGAAAATAGCATCAAAAATCTGTGTGACACTAAGAGTGTTTCAGTTGGATGAAATTGTCAAAAAGCATTATTTTTTGTTTAATGGCATTTAAAAATTCTGTCATCACTGCTTGAGTGGGTAAATAATGCCAATCAATAGGTCTTTCTGTTATCAAGGCTCAGGTATCATTGGTTACTTATGTTGCTTCAGTTACTTTACAAACAATTATAGTTTTAATGTATAAGTAAGGTGTGCATAAAAATGTATTATACAAGCATTAAAATTAGTAATTGTGATAGTTTGTTGATCTTAGAAATATTATACTCTAGACATCAGTTTAGTAAAGAAAAAAAAAGAAGCCACAGAATACAAGAGATCTGATTTATAACTCTGTTGCTTTTGCAACCTTGTTCCAGTGGACTCTTCAAAAAGGGAGATCAACTTGTCAATTTACGGGTCTCATGACTTTTCACAGTGTGCTTTCATATAGAAAGAGTTCACAGAGATTCTGATAAAATGTTTTTTTTAATTTCATCATTTGTAAAAATTCAGAAAAATGAAGTAAATATTTTATTGTCAAATTGAATCTTCTCTGCATTTTATTAGAATCAAATCATGTGTTTCTCAGTAAAAAGTATCTTAAAAAATATCACAGTAAAATCTGAACATGACAGACGTCCCCATGTAGAATTTCAGCAGGAGCTTAGAGTGCATTCCCAGAGATTTAGATCGATCCATTTGGATCGACCTAACTCCCTGGGGGTTAAGCTGACACCAATCTAGTGAGACTCCTCAGGAGGATAGATCGATCTAAATATCTATGGGAATGGGGTCTTAGTCAACAAGTAGCATTGTCTTAACATTACTGATGCAGTATTTTCTGACTTATTGCATTTTGATGCAAAGTATATTTTCCCACAGTCTTCAGTTGGGTATAAAACAGCAAACCCAATTATTTCATATCCTGCATAACCTAGTATCCTAGTCACATGCATGTAGTACTACTCACTTTTCTTGAAAATGAATAACTACAGAGTTGGGACCCATTCACATAGACTCACTGGTTGACATGGATTGACCTAACTCTGCAGGGATTCTTGATGAGAGCAATTAGCTACACAGATTAACAATCCTCCTGGTGACACCGATGGCATGTCAATGGGAATGGGGTCTGATTCACTTATGCCTGGTGGAAGATATATAAGCACAGCAAATAGTGACTGTATGGGCCATGGCTGTCTTATGGGGGGGTCCATCTATCTACATTTTTTCAATTATTATCACAGAGCTTCTTCATCCAACTTCATAGTCCATGCCACTAAGTCGTCTACCTCATGCTCCCAAGCCTCTCCTATGGGGTTCTCCCCAGTCACTGCCATGGGAGGGTCTAAATGTCTAGGGCTCTTTGGGGAAAACTGCCCATGGTGATTTGTTGATACTTGACTTACTCGTCCTGTTGCACTTCTGGGAAAACTGGGACTAGTAGAACCTGAAAGTTACAGAGAAGTGAGATGAAGATGTTCTTAGCATTATCTGCATTATTTTCAAATGTGAAACATTAATGAAATGGTCTTAGAAATGCAATTCAAGCATAATAGAAGCAAATTTATTTGTCCTTTAGAAGCTAGTACAATGATGATATCCTTACCAGGAGGTGGAGTCCTTCTTGGAAGGTAAATTTTTCTTATTTTATTTAATTGCGCTAATTTCTTTGCTTTTTCCTCTTCTTCACTTTGTTTTTTCTTAAACTTCCCATAAGTGAGCATACTGTGTCTGAAATAAATGAATACAACTGTGTGAAAAGCATGTTTTTAATAGGTCTTCAAATCCTCACTATTGATACTACAAGTCCATCCCCAGTAATTCAATAATCTTACTTTTTAAGAATGAGATTTAACTGAAACATTTTAATTTCCTATTGTAATTGAATGACAAATGTATATTAATTATTATGAAGCTTACTCGTCAAGCTGTCTTTTCATCTGTTCTTCCAGTTCTTGAAGTGTCAGACCATAATGAATGTTTTGAAGTTTTGGGTTTTCTTGGAGAGCTTCCAATACTAGAAATGAGAAAAAATAATTATTAAATAATTTACCAAGTTGACTCAGAGTACTTCAGTCCATTGCTGTTTCTTTGATTTTAAACACTAGTTCTCAGTTCAGGTAGCATGGTGTAAAAGTCGGTATGTTTGACTTCTTTTTACTAAAGAAGAACCTTACATGGATTTTTTTCTTCAAAATTGTTCTTTGAAGTTGCTATTCCAGTCCATGTTGTAAGATAATCATCAAATGATATCCTTGCTGCTTTCCGTAGGGAAATAGACTGGCTGCCCGTCTGTGGATTGGTGTCAGTGACCTCTGTTGGACCAAACCTCACTCTGGTGTCCTGATCCAAGTGTGGACTAAGACCAGCTACAAATAAATACAACCATCTTGGTTTTATTGTATCAAAGAAGTTTGTACTAAGCAATTTCAGCAATTTATGAGAATTTTCCTTGATTGTTTCATCAATATATCCAAGACATTTTTTAATAAAGTGCAAATTTATGTTTTCGTACAAAATCTAACTGGCAAGTGTAATTACTACCCATAGCTTTTTAAAAACACTGCCAGCAAGTAAGGGGCACTCCAGACCTGTAGTTGATTTCCAAGACACTTTATACAAAATCAGAATACTAAAATCTGTAAGCAGCAAAACCAAGTTAGCTATCTTTCTCATGTTCTGCACTAACCATCCACTCTCTGGCTAGCAGCCACACAGTCCTGCACCATCTGTCTGTAGGAGTGTGGGGAGGTTATGAGCATATCAGCAGCATCCAAATTGACTGCATTTTCTATGACTGGATTGCACAGCAATAACTGAGGGAAAATTGAGCAAAATGCAAAAATTATCTTTAAAATATCAACAGTGTACACAATTGAGAAAAATACTGCATGACGTCAGAGATTTCTAAAGTTATGTTAAAAGGTGATTTGATTTACATATGTTTGCAGTGATACCTAATAATTTTGAAATGATAAAAATAATATAAGTCAATAAAGTAGAAAATAATTTGTGACACTTGACTGTACATTCTTCCACTTTAATATGCCTTTATTACCTGAATATTCATGAGTATGTAACCTATGGTGTAGGTGTCCTTCCATAATGTATAGTCATCCAGGAAATCTATGCAAGGTCTGCCAGTAATCACATCAACTGAAACCAATTATGTGTTGTATGCCAATGAATTGACCAAAATAGTGGACAATTTTTTTTTTCAAATCACTGATGTACAAAGGAAGATCTTTCAGTCTAAAAACCTTCCCAAGAAAAGTTGTAAATTTTTGAGTATATCATATATAACTTTGACTTCACTTACTGGAAAAAAGATTTTTTGTATCCAATGCAACCAATGTAAACACTTGGTTTCACTAAACCAGTGAATTAAATGTAATTTTTTAGAACCAGATGTAAGATATAACATATTTACACATCTAAGAAACAATATAAAACATGCTTCAAGATGTTTGTGACTTACCATTAGGATGGAAGGGTATAGTGTGAAAGCACACCTCTGGTGGTCTCACATTATAGTGCTCATCAAATCGAATGTACAATCTGAATATTCCACCTACAAAACCATTAATTAATCAAGATGACATACACTGTCAAATATAAAAAACACTAACCTGTAGTAGACATATCATTTTGCACAAGTCATAAAAAACTAAAAATAAGAAAATATTAAAATAGATTTTTTATAAGAGCCCATCTTTGCATTGAAACATACCTTCCCATGCTGTTCCCTTCAGACCTTTAACTTTAGCAGTGCACTCAAATATGTTTTCATCTGTCAGTGGATAAGCTTCAATACCCTACAAAAGAAAGATTTTATTTTGTTGCTAGGTAAATAATGAACTAGTCAGAATATACAGAGTCCTAAGTTTTCTTATATTGCTTCTTACTGTAGGGATCAATAACTTATTGGGTTCTTAATATACTTGATTCTACTTGGATCTAGCAAAATGATCAAACTATGACCTTTTTTTTTCACTGACAAGAAGAAAAATGGGTATAATAATAATAATAATAATAATAATAATAATAATAATAATAATAATAATAGTATTTATAAAGAAAAAACAATGAATGCACTTCAAATGCATCTCAGTGCTGTGAACAATGTAAACTAAATAAATGAGTAAGAACAGTAATAAATACTAATATAAGTACAAAGAACTAAAATATTCTAAATATCATAACAATATTAAAATGCAGTCTTGCTACACAGCGATTAATATATTACTGAAATAAACAATGAGCTTTTTTCAATCATTACTCATCACTGATGTTACATGGCATATGTATCATTACCCATAGGTCATCCTTTTGTATCTTCTGAAGATCTCTCTCAATCAGCAAATGAGGCCTGGAGAACATCTACAATAGAGACAAAAGCAATTGAATGATAGTGCTGCAGTTACACATCCTATAATAGTTTCTGGCTCTGTTGCTCTCTTTCACATTTACTCAAAATACTGATCACGGGATAGTCAGATATTAAGATAAGGTGAGTGATATGCTTCAAACTTTGCTTTGGATGGGAAAATAGGTGCATATATTTCATACAGATAATTTTAATTAGAAGCTGTTGTAACAGTGATTGATGGATTTTCTGAAAACTTGGCTTAAAAGAGGCCATCATCAAATGCCTTGTTATCAGTGTGGGGCACATTAAAGGAAAACTCATAGGTGGTGCACAACAAACGAACTGAATATATCATTTTCATCTTAACTTTACCAATATATATCAGACACTGGCACAAAAATGTATATTAAAAATGTGTACAGGAGTGCTAGGGATGGTTATCAACTATACTTCGACAATATACTGACAAAGGTACTCAATGAAAAAAAATCAATTTGCCCACACATAAATAAAAGTGAAGAAAAAGATGTCAGCCTCTCCCCATCCCCTCTCTTTCTCTCATCACAGACCAGCCTAAAATTGAAGGTAAATCTCCAACAGCTTTGCAAATGACTAACTGATTCCAGCCACTTTACAGTGAAACAATCAATAAGGACCTCTTTTTTACATGCAGCAAGGCAAAAACTATCACAGACTGAAATCACCTTCACAAATCTACTGTAAGCCCACAATCCGTTGCTTAGTTCAGAGCGGAATACTGAGTTATAACATTTCATAACTTAAGATTCAGTTCATTATAATCTACAGCGATTATACTCTTTCTCGGTTTCTCTGCAATGCAGCGGCGGGTGCGCATCGATTCCATCTAACACAAGTTGAAGAATCTCAATGGACATTTAGATCAGTTATTACAGTGTATACTGATATATTTAAGCTCTATAAGTTTTGTTATTTTCACCCACCTTTCCCGTATTTTATAAAAAGAGTTTAAAATGATGCATTCTGATTTTCAACTCTCACTAGTCTTCCATTTTAGTTTGCCTTCACAACGCATATGTGCGCATGCTCAGTTCATTTTAAGTGTTTCCTGTGTAGGTGTGAACGGTCACGGATGGAGAGGAATATGGATGGTGGGAATATCTGATAGGAAATAAATCATGCAAATATAAATGGAGGCCTGTTATATGATAACGTAATTAATAACTCTGCGCTATTGAAATCCAATAATACCATTATTATGTTTTTTATGTTTTATATATTATTATTTTATAGTAGGCCTATCTGTTGAGCCAAATGCAAGGAGGAAAAGTCGTCTAAAGCTAAATTGCAATAAAAACATAAAAATAGGTCTAAAGACAAAAAAGATGGCAATCAGAAATTAAAATTCATTATTTTTCTTTTAAAAGCGATGAATTTTGGTATATCAAAATAAAAAAAAACATGTCAAACAAATCAAATTGATAAGAATTAACTTAATAAGCCTAAAAGAAGATGATTCATCGTTAAATCTTATATGATTTTCATTTCTCCAGTTAGATGAAAGAGTTCAAAATGGCGACATTCTCTAACTGAAATTATACACACGTTCACGTTTTTTGTTTACTTGAAATTCAATGGTATCGAGGGGTGGGGTATTCGACATTTATGTTTAGGGCTAGCGTTTAGGGACTTGAATGTGTTATACATAAAACTAAATACTTCGCTAGTTGTGAAAAAATTGAAATGTGAGATCACCCAGGGAGCCTTATTATATAGCGAGATTAGGTGGGGATTATTAAAAGGACCGTGAACTAAAAAACATATTTGCATAGATTGCTCAGAGAAATCGAAGTTAAACTATAACAATAATGAAAAGGTAGGCCTAGCTAGCAAAAGCACGATCAAAAATCTTTTAGGAATAATTTTGTGTTAGACACAAGCAAATTTGCTTTAGAGCAGGCGATCTTTCCTTATTACAGCTTTTTTTGTACTCAAACAAGTTTAAACGTTTTTTATCACCTGGGAATTATTGGTTGTAAATATATATATATCTTATATGTATTATCTATATCATGACATAAAGAACATGATAATACAACCGTCAAATGATGTGACATTTTGGACGGTATGTTGTAATTCAACAGTCACCAAAACACAGGTCATAAATCTAATGATTTCATAAAAAAAAAAAAAAAAAAACAGCTGAATTTCACTTTATGTAGGCCTAATATTTTCCTGCGTCGTTGTCGTATCATAGCCTGAAGTCAACATACATGTACCAGTACATTACAACCTCAAAATAACACATCAAATTTCTGTCATTACTTAATATTGATGGACCATCATTCCGTCCAGATCCGAACTCAAACATTTCCCATAGGTAATATGGTTTTCTCTGAGATGCTTAGATAAAAAAGCAGTTTGGAGCAGTGTTTGGCAATTAAATTAACTTGTTTATGAAAATTTGCATTCAAGCATGTCACCTACAGTGCACCTTACAGACGCGTAATATATCTTTAAAATTTTATTAGAGATTTAAGACAATGAAAATCCAGCTGCCCTCTAAGAAAGGTATATTTGGATGTATTACTGCTTACCTAGACAGGTCAATTTTACTTTTCTTCAAAATGCTTAGGGGTCATATCAGAACCTCTCCGCATTGTTACTATCTTATAATCATACGGTTTTAAAATGGCAATTCGAAAATTCTGTTATTTACGGTAAGGTTTCAAAATGAAAAAAGTTGTGTGGCATTATATTACCTGTGGGGAGTAACGATGAGGGAACGTAAACAGATGTAACTTTTGTGTCAATACAATGTCGTGAACTTGTTTCGTTTTATTACTTGTGATCGAAAATGTAGGAATCATATGTATTTTGCTGCTATTAACAATCAAGATAATTTAACTTAAAAAAAAAAAAACAATTGCTACATACTGTGACATACGCTGAACGACACTAGGTCAATTTCTCCACTATCAGTTCGGTAATGATGACTGTCAACGACCTTGTTCACTTTAGTAGTCTTAGGCTTCATTCCCAATGAAACTTACCGTTCTCAGTAGATTGATCCAACTCCGCGGGGACTCGCTGAATGCAGCCATATTAACATGCTTCCCTCTGGCCTTGAGTAGAATACAGAAAAGGTGACGATTATACAAATACGTTGGAAACAGGAAGAGGTTTGTTAATATGTTAGTCTGATTGCATTCAGCGAGAGTTCCCGCGGAGTTGGATCGATATACGTAGAACGATATATTTATTGGGAATGAGCCCTTAGTACTTATGTCCACGGCTGATGGAAATGATCGAAGGGGCACGAAAGAAGCATCTGGAATAAAGTTATGTAAGAAAGTGACAAGACGCGTTAAATAGTGCGTAACTGACTAAATTGGGCCTGCGAAGACCTATAAAGGCGTTAGTCACCGCATCAGCTCACAAGTGCGCGAAGTTTGAAAAACCGATGTGGCATCAGTGATTGTATCAGAGATATTGTAGTAAATATGGTGTATGCAATTAAAATAACCGGGAATTCCTTCTTAAGTGACGACACAAATGGTTCACAAACAAGTGCACAAGACAATCAAAGCAACAACGGAGGGTTTTCCAACGTATTCGCCAACGATTCAAGAACGGTTGGAAACTTGAACTCCAGCACTAGTCCTTCAAGTCATCGTGCCTCGGGGATATTTTATGGAAACTTTATTTATCTCCCATGGCTCAATCAAAGGTAATGTTTTTTATTTCATTAAGATATGCATCGATTTTTTTCTTTATTTTTATATATAATGAGTTCAAATCCCCAGGGTATTTACTAGTGTTACAGACGCAATTGACCGGTTTGCGGCGGTCACAACTCGATTTTAAAGAGAAACAATTAGTAGGCAAATGCATTACGAATAACTTGCTCTTTGTTAAATATTATTGTCAAATATACTATACTTGATTATGTTCACAACAAAAATGTTCTAAGTGAATCAACATAACACATCTCTTAGCAGCAGATTTTCCAAATGTACCCAGAGGTAGTTGTGAAAAGTTCCATGAAATATTTTGCTTATAAGTTATACACAGACATTTCAGGAATAAAGATTCATTGTTTTCTGATAAAACCTACTTATCATGTAGATAGCACTATTAACAATATTGCTATAAACAAAACATTGATATTGTATTCAGATTTTCTAAAGAGTTTATTGAATGAATTTTTAGGGAAATGCATAGTTATGTGCATAATTCAAACCACTTTGATATTTTTGATAGCGAGTTATTTTTTCTAATACTTATCTATGATTTTGCATCAAATCAAAGTTTCCTCTACAAAATGCTTTTTTCCTGCTAAAGATTCAGTGCTCTAACCTGTCCTGTTTTTGCACATTTTCTAACACTTCTAATGATATAATTTAGTTCTAAATGTCTGGACAGAAATTTTGATAGTTGTCTTTCTGCATATTTGAGAAGGAAAATATCAACGTCAGATACTTGTATTTGAGTGATTTGTATAGTTTTCGGGTCTTAAATTGGGAAAGATGGATAGCTTGCAAAATATAGAGACAGAAAATATGGAACACTTTGAAATACTTATAGCATACCTTTAGGTAATACTATTAAATTTCAGCAGTTCTAGCTGGTCAAATATAAGTATTCCTGAACCTGTGCGCCAAGTTGTTGCCCCAAAAGACCTGCATTTGGTCAGTAACAACAAACATGGTTTGGGTACCCAGCACCAGTCACAGCCTTCTTCACATCTATCTTATGAAGTGGTGCTGAAAAGGAACCAGAACGAGCTGAGGACTGGAAGCTGGACGCCCTTGACTGAGCCTTTCAGTAGTCACTTGCAGTTTGACCAGATTTCAAACAGGGGGTCCGATGCTGAAAAAATTGAAGACATATCAGAGCCAGAGGATATGTGTCACAAGGAAAAAAGGGTTCAGAACAAGACACCAAGAAAACCTATGAAACCTCAGAGGAGTGCTGAAAGGACTAACCCAGATTTCAGAGGAATAACGTTCAGTCTGAAAACAGAGTTTAAAGAAGGCTTGGTCCAACTCAAAATAGACTCCGATTTCAGGTAGGCTTTAGATTTTGGGCATTTTTTATTTTTTAGTATTGCAAAATAATATTACAATACCTTTTTTCACCAGGCAGTATGATACTAATGCTTCATAAAGATCGATTTAAGAATTTATTGTCAAGAGCACTTTAAGATATAATGCCAATAAGATAAATTGATACAAATTGTACTTTTTCAGCCCATGCAAAACAAATCGTAGGAAATTAAGGCCCAAAGCTGAGGTGTTTTCTTTCCACCATAACAGCAGTGGAAGCCGTGAGTCAGCTACAGATTCCGAATCTGATGAACCTCGGGGCAAATATACCAGAATTCCATACCAGTGTTATACACATCACTCTGGTGAGTGTTTTTTTAGTTCATTTTCCGTTGATTGGTTGCCAGTATGATTTATGTTGACTTTTTATGTACCATTTATATTTTGTTTATTAATTATGTGTCATATTAAAATTATATCCAGATCCTTGTTTACAGATAAGTTGATTTTACTTGGCATTTGTTTTGTGAATTAGTTGTTTCATGCCAAATAAGGAAGAAAGTTTGTGAACACTGTTTTTCCGGACTATCTTGCATTGATATTTATAGGTAAACAGTGTGCTTCCTGCAACACGAGGAAAACTCCACTGTGGAGAGATGCAGAAGATGGAACACCCCTTTGTAATGCATGTGGTATAAGGTAATCTGTGCAAATGAGAATGATGTCTTTGTTGCACGTCTTTTGCTGTTAAGGTTTTTTTTAAAATATGAATTGGTAAAGTTATGTTAAGCTTATTTATTACAACAAGTATATGAAACATTTGGCACACCTTTTAATCATTAAGTGTAGTACTATTTTGATGCAAGTTGAAACGTCACTCACTTATCTGAATGGATGTTAAATTAATTTTAAAAATATTTCATTTTTTTTAAATATTATTCCTTTTTTTCTACTGTAGATACAAAAAGTACAGATTGCGTTGCAGTTTCTGTTGGCACATCCCTCGTAAAGGAAGTAAGGCTTACCCACGCTGTGCTCGGTGTGGAGAGATGCTGCGTTTAAATGTGATGAAAAAGCTGTTCTAAGCACTGCTGTTTTAGCAAGTATTGGTGCACTGATTCTTAAAGAGGAACCATCATAAATAATATGTCTTATGTAATCTTGTCTTAAAATTTAGGATAACTTTAAAAGAGATGAGCTGCATTTTACATTTTATGTGGTTTTAAGGAAACGTTTAATGAGAGGGTGGTATGTGTGAAGAGGTCTTGGTGGATTCCTTTCAACCTAAAAAATGGTACATCACAAGGTTTAATGAGACGTACTCCATTAAATTTCAATTATTGCCCAAAATTATATACCAAATTCTATTTGTTTGTTTGTTTGTTTGTATATCCATGTCGTTTTGAGGATGTTTGTGTAAAATGCTGCCAGAAAAAAAGGCAAATTGAGATTCGTATTTAGTGCAAAGTTAAGCTACATGTTACAAATTGGAAGATATTTTTTGATAATGACATTTTTGATATTTGTGAAAAAGATGTTATTTAACATTAATTATAAATCTTGATAGAAGTATGCTGGCATACTAGTATGTGAAATAATCTTACTTTGGCCTTTTAAATCTGCAAAAAGGAGAGGACTCCTGAACTATGGTAGCTAGATTTTTTAAAAGGTGCTTATAAAAATGTTTAAAGAGAGGGTCTTGCTAAAGAAAAAAGGCTACACTTAGAAAAAAACTATTGTCTTTGGTTTGCACTCCCTCTCTTTCTCCATCTCAATTTTGATTATATGATGAATATCTTATAACAGTATGAATCAATCATTTAAAAAATAATGTCTTAAATTCATTTTTGTTGAGTATTATGTGAAAATTAACATTTATTTTATGTCATAGTGTCTCTGTTGTTTAAATCTGTCTAGTTTGTCTATTGTGAGTAGTTTGTATTTTAATGTTTACTATGAAACGTAACACATAACATGTTAATTAAAAAGAATTGTTCTGACTCGTTAAAAAATTTAATCCTTACCTTAACAGTCTATTATTTTAATGGGTTTCTGCTGATAAGAGAAATTTTGATAAATTTCAATTGCAAGATATGCCATATATGATCTTCTTGGAGTTTGTAAATTTGGACAACTATTTTTCATTTAAAAAGTGAAAACTTGGTTTGGTTGCATTTCAGGCAAATGTGATTTTTGTTTATGAAATGTAAAGAATTTGTGGAGATGTAATGTTTAACACATGCCTTCAGAACATTTTTGAAATGGCTGATAGCTTGCATAGCTTTACAGACCCTTGTTATTTGTCCATGAAAATCTTGTCAAATTTTGTTGAAATTTGTTGATGGGAAAATGATTATCATCTTTTTTTACTAACATTCCTTACTTTCTACTAACAATTTATGTAGATTTAGTCCTGTTAAACAGTAGAGTAGATGAGTTGTTAAACATAAATTCTTGTTGGAGTTTAGTTTTGAATAATGACAAATGATTACCAAAGCATATTCATAATTGTGCTGCCAAACTGTCATATTTTTAAAAAAAGAAATAGTAGTTTTCATTTGAATTTATTACGTTGCTTAACTCTGTGGCTTTTTCCTCCAAAACTGTTATTTAGAATATATGCATATATTTGGTTGTAAAGAATTTTTTTTTTTTTCGGTTTAACATTTAAGGATATGCTTTGATAATTATGCCTCCTATTAGCAGTGGGCAATTTATACATGTAAATAATTTGTTTTGATCAAGAGAAGATATATTTTTAGTTATTTTTAGTTACATTTATACTTTTAAGTTTGAAAAGTCTCAAGATGAGATTTCATTTAAGATATACATTGGTTTCTAGTTAAGTTATATTCTTAGTTTTTATTTCACTGTTGACTTTAAAAAGTTTAAAGTATTAAAGGTTACTATAATAGTAGTGTCAGCTAATTTAACAGTGGTGCTTTTTTTTGTAAAGACCAGTTAAGAAGCCTTTGCATATTGTACAATGCACAATTCATAGTTGAATAATGTGCAAAAATGCTGCAATGCACATAAAGTGAAGATGTAGTGGTAGTATATAGTCTTGTTTGAATAGTTTGACGTTTCAGATTATCATTCATTGCTTCAGTATATATTGCCATATTGCTGGCCCCATCACTGTTTACAGCATAGTTTTTTATGTGGATGACATTCAAGCATCTGGAGCTCGTATCAACCAGTTGGTCTTATGACCAAAGTCCTTTGATAAAGGGTTAAAACATCCTGCCTCATTCCCTGTTTAATCTCTTTAAATTTGAAAAACCACTTTTTTTTTTTATCAATTTTGCTCAATTTCCAATATTTCTAAAGATGGAGAATCTTTCATTTTCAAATTTCTTGGTTCAGATATGCAAGGCTTAAAAGTGGGTGCAGTTATCAAGTATACAAGGTTTTTTAGTATTCAGACTGAGAAAGGTCATCTGTACATTTGTCAGCTTCAGCTGGCTTGGTCCATCTTATCTTGCCTGCATCAATAAATACCTTGGCAAAAACTTTATAGGCAGGTATTTTTATGATGCAATTATTGCATCTCATTATACCTCTTTATAATATTGGCAGTTCTGATGCTACTTTCACTTTCAAGTTGTACTTCTCACTTAAATTTGAAATAAAGTTTGATTCATATTTACTCGAATTATTATTATTATTATTTTTATTTCTCTGGGAAACGCTCTTTCTTGATGCATATCGAATGTGTTATAAAATCCCCTCATTCTTCAAGCGTCCAAGTGGCAATTCAAGATGGCACTTGCTAAACTTACAAAATCAAATGTACTTCGATAAGCAAAGGAAATTTGTCATTACAAAATGGATAAGTATCGTCTTCCATCGAAAATGACTGAGAAATATAGAATTTTGAGAAACTACATCAATTTCGATATATTTATGTGAAAATGTCAATGTTTATCTGAATTGCACACCACGTAGTGTAGCAAAAAGTTGGTTTTGCATTTCCATGGTTTAAAGAACTGTGGGTGAGAAAGCAGGGAACAGCCTCAATAATCCCCTCATTGGCCTGCCTTTATTTAAGAAATTGATTATAATCAAATAAGTGTCAAACGAAGAGTATGTTTGATATAAGACAATCTGTCATTTTATTACCTAACAGACAATAAAGCTATGGAACAATATCCAGAATAAATCTAATCTACTGCTTGCCATGCTACAAAGACTGGATTCAGAAGCCTGTGTGAGGGAAGCCTCAGACAAAAAATTGGAACAAAGCTGGAGCTCCTCTGTAAAATGCACCTTTTTTGTTAACAAGTTTACAACAGACAATGAAATAAAACCTTTAGAATTGGCATTAGAGTTTAATAATGGGCACAATACATTTACCTGAATTGATAATTTCCTCAGTAATTTTCAACAAATACTTTACTGGCAACAACGTAATAAATCTGTAACAAAAAGCTAACATTCAAGGTGAAAGAAGATAAATTCATGATTGAAAGTTAGCCTTTGGCTTAGAAATGAAACAATTTATCATGGAATTTTAAAAAATCCACACATGAAAACTACCATAAAGTAGTTTATTGTCAGTAAATATGTAGAATTAAATTGAACCATTCATTTAATAACCACAGAACAAGTTAAAACTTGATAACCATTGTAAAATTAATATCATTTCAAAGTAATGTTGGGTAAAACAGACAGACAACATGGAAGTAATAATTCTTCTGAAATTGCAAAAATACACTTGCATTTGTCAAGATCCATTTTCATTTCCTATCAACATTATTACTAAAAAATAAAGCCATAATTGCAGTATAAACATCTAATGACTTGTCTCTGAGCCTGACCTCGGGGCTCTTTCAAGGGTTATACTATCTCAATAAAACATGAGTAACTAGTCATTTACACAAGCAAGCAAAGTGACTACAGACAGAAGCACAAAATTAACAATTTGTATGAATAATTATATTTACAAAAAATTGACCTTTCAAGGTCACTTCTGATAATGAGAAATTCTGTAGACCATCTTTCACTGGTTCTATCACACTTCTTTGGGAATACATCCATGTTGTCAGTAATATACAGGGAGCAATACAAAATTGCAAACTTTGGTATGCACTTGGGTATTAAGAGACCAAATATATACACATCACTTACAACACAAATGCAAGTTATACACTACTTTCAAATTATAGAAATAGAGGCCTTATATTTCTGATTGTCTTGGCTCTGTTATAAACATGCTGTCTTTAATCATTTCATTCCGGGCGTTTATGGAATTATTGACATGCACTGGGCTTTGGACGTTGTGTTGCTGGTTGGTTGGCACTTTATTTTGCATGTTGGGTTTGTAGTTACTGGACGATGATCTTGAACTATGGCTTGATGACTTATGACTGGCTACAGAGCCGGGTGGAGAGGGCTTTTTATACATAGCAGGGTGATGAACAAATCCTGGGGGTGGCGGTGCCTGCCCAGTCTGTGCATATCCCTGAGATGGGACATTACTATATGGAGTTGAGTAATAGCCTACAGGGGGAGGGGGGATGGGTGGGAACCCCGGGGGTGGCTGGTTCCCCCCAGTCATCCTCCCTGAACTCCCTGTGAGTCCTGTAGTGGTAGTGTTATTACTGGGCCCTGTGCTGCTATGGTGACTCTGCTGACTGCGGCCACTGCTATGCTGTGTACTACTCGAGTGTCCAGAATGGCTCTGAGCCAGGTTATGTTGTGGGAACTGGGTTGCTATCAGCTCCCCACGCCACTGCCTTAGACGCATGTGAATTTCATTGAATGTGGGCCTCCTGGCTGGCATTTCATGCCAACACTCCACCATCAGGGTGTATACCCTACTGGGGCAGCCATCAGGGCATGGTAATATCTGACGGCCTCGGATCATTTCTATCACTTCTTGATTTGTATAGCCATAGTAAGGCTGGAGTCCATAGCTGAATATCTCCCACAGTAACACTCCATAGGACCACACATCACTCTCTACTGTAAACTTCCCATAAAGAATGGACTCGGGTGCCATCCAGCGCACTGGAAGGAGGGCCTTGCTCTGCAAGCGATAATAATCCGATGAGTAAACGTCTCTTGAAAGACCAAAGTCTGAAATTTTTACAGTTAAATTGTCTCCAACCAGAACGTTTCTAGCTGCAAGGTCTCTGTGGACAAAATGGTGGCTGCAGAGGAATTCCATCCCTGCTGCTATTTGAACTGATATGTACAACATGTCTGAGGTGTCAAGATGGCGCGGTACAAGGCCATCCTCATTCATACCCACATCTGAATGTGGTGAATGACGTATTAAGAACTCGTGTAAGTCGCCATGTGGCATGTATTCAAACAGCATACACCATGGCTGGTCTTTCATACAAACTCCAATCAGACACACAATATTCAAGTGTCTCATGTCAGACATCAATTCAACTTCGCGACGAAAATCGCTAGCTATTTTTTGTGAAGCATTTTCCTTTAATGTTTTCACAGCAATTGTACCAACTGTGTTATCTCCATATAATCCAATCACTTCTGCTTTGTAAACTTTTCCAAATGCCCCTTCTCCAAGTTCCTGAACAAAACGAATTGCAGATCGTGGAAACTCTTTTGCTTTGACAGGATTCTTAATGATTAGAGCAGTCATCTCCATGTCTTGGTTTGGTTGTTCTGGAGATTTTGCGGCTTCTGGTGGAGTTTGCCTGTTGCGTCGCTGTCTCGAGCACAGGCATATCACAGTAATGATCAGGGCCAAAATAAGAGGGATGGCCACACTGGGCAGGACGATGATCAGAATCTCTTTGAGGTTTGAGTTGTTTTTTGATGCATCAGATGTCACTTGGTTTATTGTCTTCACTAGGTCAGCTAGAAGAACAAAAAGCTATGATTTAAAAATTAACAAAATTAAATCAAATTTACTAATTTTTCTCTTTGTGAAAGTTTGTTAATAACCACAAGTTTGTGTAAAAAGTTGGGAATTTAAATACTGTTACAAATTTTAAGTTACAGATTATTCATGCAAAGTAACTTTTTAAATTCATGAACCAAATAGACAGCAAGATATTTAGTATCTGTCTTAATAATATACACCTTTTCTTATTGAATACATGCTTCCAATACTCTCCATCAAATCAAACTAACAATACCCTTAAGTGGTATCAGGCATATATAAATGTGCATAGCCAATAAAACTTACGACACTTTGGTATATCACAAAGTTCTGTGGGCACCATTTTATCCATTGTGAAACACCAAGGTGCTTCCTTGCGTCCTCCTGGGTTGCGGCAGTAATTGTGTCCTCCTGTTATAAATACAAAGGCATATTTTACAAATGAATTTTTTTAAAGGTATTTAACTGGGCAATATTCATAATCTGACCCACTTATATATCTTCACTAACACTGTCTCTCTCTGTTAGAGGATCTAGAATTCTAGGTTCACCAACTTAACATTTCTTACTTTTTTTTTTAGTAATGAAGTCTCACTAGTGACATCATCAATCTTTCAGAACCTATGATCAATAATTCTGTTGGTGCCAATACATTTCAGAATGTGTAAAGTGATGGCATAAAGAAAAATGAAATAATAAGATAAAATTTAACTGCAGAGCTCCTGTAGCTGTCTATACGTACCCTGTAGCAGTGGGAACTGGCCAAGTGACAGAGTGACAAGGTGGGGGCTATTTGAGGTCCACTTCTGGCACTTGAGTCCTGACTTTGTGTGGCTCACTGTCCCCTGGTATGACATGCCTGTCCCATTATAACAGGTGTGACCTACACAGAGAGAAGAGTAGGGATGTTTATATCCTACACAGAGAAAGTGTGCAAACAAAATGTTGTGCATATATGACTTATTACTCTGCCCGGGCAAAAAAATGAAATTTCAATCCAAATTTTAGTACCCTAGGTTCTAGATTCCGGTATTGCCAGCTCGATCTTGATTTCACATATAACCCATATTAGCAATACCAGGCTCTAGCAAACAGCGGCAACTCGGGGGCGTTCTTCTTCAAAATTCTGCCTAGGGCACTTCCATATTTGGAAGTCACACCTCACAGCTGTGTCCGCCTGGATCCATATTTGGAAGTCATAATTCTCGTACGTCACAGGTTTGGCTGCCTGGAGCTGCCTTTCCCGCCTTGCGCTGAAGTTATCTCGTGCACACGAGACAAGAAGTAATTAAAGTGCCTGACGCGGAGTTAGAAGTTTGAATTGAAAATATCTTGCAGTCGAAGGTCAGTGCCACAATACAAGCAACATTCTGCTGTAAAAACTGATTTTCGTGTAGCCATTGCGCAGCCCTTATAGTGGTATCAGGCATACAGTGTAGCTGTCAAATTTGGCACACGGCAAGCACGTGTATTGTGCACGTGTATATCTCAGGACTAACTGTTCTTTGATAAGCAAAAAATACAAAAACATTGGATATCTTTTCTTTTCGAAGAATATTATTCATTTTTTTCATTTATTCTTTAAATACAGTAAATAAAATTAAATAAAGCAGAATTAAATTTGCTTTACGTTTCATTTTGGTCTAATGACATTCAACTGCAGTTTCACTGCGGAGCAGTTCTATTTGATTGATGGAAGCCTAACATGGCCGCTGGTCTTCAGAGCTAGTAAAAATGACTCCAAGGTATATTTAATATTTACAAGCTAATTTTTACGTTGCTCTGACACTCAGGGTAAATTTTAGAAGAGTCATATAAATATCATACCACGGCTTCCTGTGTCTACTTTCACTTGTCCTTTAGGCAGACCAATGCTGACACAATTAGCAGCCTGTGGTGTTCCTTTGGCTGGCAAATCCTCACACCTGGGTAATAAACTGTTACCTGAAAAGACAATAATGTGTAATGCATGTAAAGCACAATTGATCAAACTGCCCTAGGCATTCAATATTTAATTTCAGTAGATTTTAGGAACAAGAAACATTTATTAGTATCAGATAGTTTCATCCCAGATATTCTAACATTGCCTTTAAATGTCTAAATCTTATTATAAATTATTTTTAAAGACAAAAAGATCCATAAACACATGTCAGTCTTTTCAACTTTCTCATATGTTCAAATCTGCAAGTCGATAGGTCTGTTTAGTAAAATCGAGGTTCAGTTTTAAATTACCACAAGACAACTAAAATCATTTGTGGAAAATTTCAATGCCTGAGCCACAGTGGGGTCTCTGGGTAATACCACCCTCCAAAAACACAGACACTTCATTGCTGGTGAGAAATGTCTGTCTAGAACTAGTTTAAAGACCAAAATGGTTTTAACCTATGTCTGAATTAAAATTAAGATACATTTCCGTCTACATACCAATCACTGGCTGCGTCTTAGCCAGCACGTACTCAGTCTTGCACATATCAGTCATGAGAATGTTACACTCCTCCTGACAAATCTGTCGTGGCTGTGGCTCCACACCACTGTTGTCACACAGAGGGAAGTTAAAGTGACACAGCAGGGGAATGGCGTACTCCTCACACCTCTCTGACATCTCTGTCGTCTGCTCTATCACTGTGATGGCAGCTTGAAAAAGAAGATGAAGATTTTAGTTTTAGAAAGCACTCATTATTCAAATATATAATACTATACTCTCTGACCCCCTTTTTAATTTTTTTTTTTCAAATATTTTTCTATTATGGTTTACATGACTTACAAACAGATCTATAGATTTTGAGAATTCACTGTATTAAGGATTTTGCGTTGTTTTCAACTAGCTTTGTGCTGTTTATGAGTTAAGTTTCAAGTGAACAGTCGGAAATTATTAACTAAATCATATATATTCAATTTAACTCTTTCTTTCAAATATTTCATACAATTAAAATATAAAAATATTCCCCAGTCAAAACCTTTTCCTTGTTTTGTAGCTTCAGTATCATAAACATTAAACAGAGGAAATTTTTTTTAAATGCTAAACTACACTTGAAAACTTAGATGCCATTAATCCAATAATGCCATTTTTTTCACCAAAATCAAGACATATTAAAACCTTCGCACAGAGATTTGTATAGTTCTCTCCAGGATGTCTGTGAAGATCTTTGAGATATTCTCTGCAGACTAACCTAACAGCTGATTCTCCACTCGGCCCTGCATGAAGTTGTCTAGGACATAAATACTTTTATTGGCAACAAATCTAGAGCACGACACTCCTCTGTATGGTTGGCAGAAACCATTGCCTGGCTGGCTATCTCTGGAAGTAGAGAAAAAAGAAGATACAGGCTCAAATAGTTTGTAAAGTTACATGCAGAAGGCCACACACATACACACACTGATAAAGAAGTTATATTTATTTCCATTGCCAAAAACCAGGCAGCTGCAATCAAACAGGACATAAAAGACTTCTCTTTCAAGACAAAATACAGATATTCTCATCCCAATATTACCAAGAACACAGAGATCTCATAAATGATTTTTATTACAACCAGATGGCAATTTTTGCTTTGGTAAAGAAAGTCAAAGAAGAATAATGGACAGCAAAGAGTTTTTTAACATCATCTTACTATGTAAGCCTAACAAGATAAAAGTCTTTGGTTCCAATATGGCCAAAACAACAGAAGGACTAGTCTCAAGCCATGTATATCTAAAAGATCCCAACCACAAGCCCCCAGAGGGAGCTAAGGTTGCGCTCACTGAGAGTAAAAACTCAAAAAATAATCCAATGGCTGTGTGTTCACCAGTTAGTCAGTCTATTACATTACATACCTTGTCCCTGGTGGTCTGTAGTTGAAATTAGGGAAAGCTGCAGTACCGAATGGATCAAAGCCTGGTGGTCGTATGGGGGTCTCCTCATCTGGTGGACCACTCGGAAAAGGATCCACCTCTACTGTCCTAGGAGTGTAATTAGGAGGACGACCTGCAAATCAAGACCATAACTCAATACATATATGGGCAATGGCGAACTTGCCACGAAGTATGAAAAATATATGAGAATAATACTGATATATTTGTTTGGGGAAGCATACAATTCTTTTCAGCATATTGCCAGCAGTACAATTAATAATCTGGCTTACTGGATCAAGTACTATATTTGTCAAAGCAGGTCTTTATGTGAAAACAACAGTTTTTTTTCATGGAGTATTCTAAACCAACAATCCACGCCCATCATTCTTTGTAACATTAACACAAAGTGCATGGATAACATTTTAGTATGTGAAAAGGAGGCAATGCAACATTTACAATATACATGAAGTCTATAGCATTATTATTGATCCCATGTAGTAATACAACCCTTGAGGTTTCCTGTGGTTATTATAGACTTATATTTATATACCAACTTCACACAGTCAATTACTTCTGAGAATCATGTCATTATACACTGGAATGAAAACAAATCTCTGTCTACTTACCAGGTTTTACTAGCAGCATTCCACTGGCTCTTTCTCTACCAAACACATTGGTTGCTTCACAGGAGTAGACACCAGAATCAGATTCTTGAACACTGTTTATACGTAACCTGTAATATTGCATAAATGATTACAGCCCAACTCATTAAACCTTCAGTAGAACTAAACAGTAAAACTAAAATTGTAATTAATTTAAATAAACTTAAAAGACTTCATTTTACATTTCAAGCTGAGTGTACCATTAAAATCTTCTACTGAAACACCATCAATCAGGACTGAGACCAAGTTTTAATGAGATATCACACGTCGTGCTCCTTAGAGTGCAACTTTAGCAGAGAAACATAAAATACCTTGATCCCCAAAAAGTATCTTTGGCATTCAGTCTGCTGTGTCTGCTCTCTTGTATTGTTACATTATCCTTGAACCAGGTGTAGCGTGGGACTGGAGAGCCTGAGATTTCACAGCGTAATCTCACATTTTCTCCGGTGAATTTGGTAAGGTTTTCCATTGGACGATCCACTCTTACGAAACCATCTAAAAAGGAAAATTGAGGCTTATTTGTAATTTTTTAAACAAATGCACAACTAAAAACATACACCTCAAGGGTTATGCTAATGGGGAAGAGAAACAAAATGCTGACAAAGGTCTCAGGAAACAAAGAGCTTCTTGATAAATCTTAAGTGTATGCAACCAGATGGTGCAATGTTTTAACAGTTAAAACCAAAGGCATAAAGGCATTTTTGTCTTAGAAGGCATTATCACCAAAATTCACCCCACCCCCTTTAAAAAAAACCAAACAAGCTGAATTGTTCATTTTTCATGTTCTCTTTTAATAATTTGTAAAGCATCCATGGGTCATTAAACCTGGACCATCAAAGTGGAGAACTAAAACATGATTTATCTTCTTTTATCTCCTTGGACTAAGATAACGAGAGTTTAAATGGCAGTGGATCAATTTTTATCAATAATTTATTCATTGATGTGTTTTTATTTTCTACTTCATATCAATCATTCATTAAACCTTACAAAAAAAAAGGGGGGAAACATGATTTCACACCATCCTACTGGAGAGCACTCCTGCATGCACAATGCTTTTAAGGTCTGGTTACCTAATAGTGAAGTTTAAACGGTGACTTCATTGAGTAAATAATCACCACATTAGCTAATTCACCAGCCATGCAAAGTGAAGAAAAACTGGAATTACAAGCCCTTCAAACCCTACAAGTCTTCCATACATGGTACCTCAGCTAGCAAACATGATGCCATTTTTTCCACACTTTCCGATTGGATTACCAGAACCTGTCTCCCGCACCTTTCAACATCACACAGACAACTACATGCAGTTTTATACACACCAGTCAAAACATTCACTCTAAAATGCATCAGTGATGGTTCATTGACCAATATTTTTTTTCTTTTAAACAGCTTAAAACAAGCTAGCACTTATCAAATCAAGTGTGTTGCCTTATAATTTACGTAACATTTTCTTTTTTTTTTTCTTACTTTCATTTGGGACAATGTTCAAGAGCATGCAAATTTCAAAACATGTTATGAAATCATACTTAGGTCACACAAACATAGTGACTAACAAATAAACCCATAGAGTCAGACACATTCTTTGAATAAATATTGTCAGAAAGATGACAAAAATATATAAAAACAAGTTTCCTAAAACATTACAAAAGAATTCTCATAAACAAGTCAACAGACGCCAGTATCACTACAGACAGATGGGATTAATCAGATTGCGTACAGACAAAATGCACTGGAACATGAAAAGGAAGGACACTTCTCTCAACTCATGCAGCTCTAACAAAGATTTATTCCATTCAAACAACCACCAAGTTTCCTTAACATCAGAAAGGAGGGGCTAACCTGGCAGAACCAATTTCCCGCCTTGTTTTACAGTGACTTTAGTTATTACTCCCAACAAAGAAACATGTTACACTTGGTTTCAAAAGTAATTTTTTCATCAAGAAGAATAATGGCTGCAGCAGCTTGTAGTCTTTTTAATTTAGGACTTGTAATCTTCTTTTATATGAACTATTTGTCTGAACATTTATGTACATTATGTGTGGCCATATATATATATGCATGCATGTGCATGTGTGCATGGCTGTATTGACCTACAATTACATTTTGCTAGAATTCTAGTAGTTAGCAAACAATAGATTAGTTTTATGATTTTTTTCTGATTAAATTGAAAATTTCTTAAAATCTTCTTCAAATTATTATTGCAGTAACTGATAATCATATATAAGCTGACCAAATAGGAGCCAACCATATACATAAAATGTGTACTAGTATGTTTATGGATCAGCAGAATTCAAGGAAGAGGTTATTTTCTCCAATAATAATCAAATTATCCTATATTAACCAAGGACAAGACAGTTCATGAATGGAATCATGGAATTCAGCCACCAACCTGAACCAAAATGACCCCCAAATATTTGTGTTAAATGCTGCTTCCTTTACACTATATTACATAATACAGAGCCACCTGAGACGGGAGGGGATGAAGTAGTATCATAACTCACACCAGAGAAGGTAAGAAGTTTACACATATCAGGTGGAAAATTCCAGGATAAATCAACAAACAGAGATGCCATAACTTGGATAAAACTGTGCATGGATTATTTACTTATTGCCTATTAAGAGGTATAGGATGTCATCTCCATGCCAGGTGGCACTGCCGAGGTCTGCTGGCTTCCAGACCTACAGCAGGGTGAGAGAGAGACACACATTTTTTATCTGACCTTACTAAAAGGATCAGTTATGTAAAACTCACTTCTTCCACCCTGAGTTTTAGAATTCACTGAAAAACCAACTACCATAAAGACAACATGCATCTGCGACAAAGACATGTCAATGATATTGAGGTTGCATGGTTTTCAGTACACTCAGAAATCCTGAGTGGTTAGGTGCACTTGAGAATAACATGCTTTTAGCCAGCAACAACTGAATAATGGCGCAAAATACTACTATTCTGCAATCAAATTTACAAGGCACGCGGCAAAATTGAATAACCCGTCTTGAAAATTACCAGCCCCTGGCTAACAAGATTTTGAAAACTTCTAATCTTGGCATTTTGACAGAAAGTTGGTCTTATTAATTGTCAGTAAGTAAATTCAAAATGTCCACATCTCAAATTTATATTGCTCTTGAGACTTTGACAGTTTTAATACAGTTCAGGGGAGGACATCTCTCTCCAGGAGATTATTTATTTATTCTTTCCCTAATCAATTTAACAGTCACAATAATCAAGATATTTCCACTTCACCTTATCAAAACATTTCATTTCACCTGCTTTCCTTTGATAAAGTTGATTTTAAGTGTATTACAAAAACCTCCTTTACAGCTGATTTTCTGACAAAGTGCCTCTTCACAACAAAGTTGCCCTTTTTATTAATGGAACGGTATAGGATGGCTCTCAAGTGTGAGAAACAATGGAGCAGTTTCCCACTGCTTGAACACTTAGCGACATAAGGGTAAATGTGATGTGGAAACCCCCATTGAACACTTTCATAAAATTAATGTTCTGAAAATCACAATGCACATTCAAAGAAGAATATCAGTTTCTTGGAAACAGTAAATAACACATTATATTTTAAGTGGGATAAAGTTACATTTAGAACTTTTTTAATCATGCTCCATAAAACATCATTTAAAAAAATGTCTACAATAGATGAATAAGGGTCTACAATATGTAGATAGCCCCTATTGTTAAAGCTGGTGAGAATAATATAATAAAACGTGAAGAATTGTCATGACCTTCCCCTTGACCCCCCCCCCCCCCCCAAATCCGGTTTCACCATGTCTCTTCTGAATCTCAAGCTTTTCACTAACATGTAATACACTATGGTGCTCCTTCAGACTCTGATAAAGTCATTAATTTCAAACTCTCTCTCACTTATGGCCATGTATCTTCATAGCCAGTAAATTTGTACAGATGATACCACACCAATGAGGATTAATTACAGAAGTGATGACTATGACAAGTACAAAGATGGCTATGACGGTGTATACTATTCATAATACAGTACAACACCATGCCCCAGAGGTGACCCTTCTCTTTCAAATTATTTCAGTGAAGCCTATATCACACGAGACACCTATTAACAAAGTCTTAAGATTTCTATGATACAAAACAAACATAAAATAAATAAAACTTGTAAAAATTACTGGCTAAAAACAACTGTAAGATCGCCAAGATAAGAATCGTGTTAGAGTGGATCCTGCACATTCATTTTTTACCAAGCTCCCAAATGATTATATCAAATTGTGCTAATGGGCTACCCGTAAACATGGTTCTATGAACGCTTCCTTTAAAATAGACCCTGGGATCCTCCATGCAGGTCAATGTAACCACACAATGTTTTTGGTTCTAGCTTCTTAAGATATATAAACATCATCAAACAAAACCAGAGCAATGTTATTCTTGCAAAATCTACAATTCTTAACAGATTTTTGAGGCCTGGGAATGATTTTCAGGATCAAAAGAATTTCAATTGACCACATGATCTAGTCTAACCCAGGCAGAGAGATAAGGCTGGAAACACTGATCTGGTATGAAAATCTGCCCTTTCACTGAAAGCCTCCTTTGTCTGATTATGGAGGCCAGAATTCAAATATGGAAAACACTGACATTTGGTAAAAAGTATCACCTCGGCTTTGTTTTCATAGCTGTTGGTTGTAAAATCAAGTTTCCACTAGCAGAATTAAATGAGTTAACAATATAAATCAAAACAGCATATTGAACAGAAAATGAAACAGAGGCACAGAATTTTTTAGTCTCGAGGACTGCCAGCCACTAGTTCAATTTCATAGTGTTTGCCCTTAGCAACAGCAAGTTTCTTCAACCACTGTGAAATCTCTTCAATAACTTGCATAAGTACAACTGATAACTTAATCAATTTGATGACTACAGTCATTGCAATATGGCGGGTAGGAGCATGATGCAGTGAAAAATCACTTTTCATCTCCAAACCCAAGGTCATACTTTCATTAACCCCCTCTGACCTAGGTCACAACCCTGTCCAAAGTAATGCTACAATAGATACATCACAATCTTTTCCTAAATGTACCTCAAAAGACATATGTCTGAACTTTAAACCGCAAAGTTCACAGATATCAGAACATGTTCTCCAAAAAGAAGACCACAATGGCCAGGACTGCCTCTCCTGGTGAGACAGTCTCTCCCTCACAGGTGATAACAACATGGCAGCTAATGACCATCATCCTGGTCTCCTTTTAACCCACTGCCTTCAGGCACTGCAGATATCCATAGAGTGATCAAAGTCAACAATGCACACTTTCATTTAAATTTTGAGCCATTAAAAGTCAGATATGCCAGAGGGGTGTAAAGTCTCACCAAATGTTCTGGATGAGTGATGAGGTACTGACAAGGGCAGCTTGTTGTCCTTTTTTCTACCTAAACTTTCTCAAGACTATCAACGAAGGGTGCAAAAACAACACACACAACAAATGGGAAAACAATGCTTTTGAAGTTTGGTTCAAGTCTAGAGAACAGTTTTCCCTGTATCAATCACTGACAGAGCTTGTCAGGCCTAATACTGAATGTTGCCAGTTAGAGGAGTCCATGGCAATTTGTCCCCAATGATCCAGAACTGCTCTGCCACAGATAACACTGACACAACTTTTTAAGCTGTTGGAGTTGTAGCCTTCTACCACCCATGGTTATGTCAGTGTGACTTCTTAAAATCTGTATTAGATCTAAGGGGTGATCAACGTCACAATCTGGCATGTGGGTACCTTAAGCAGGCAGTTGCAACAACTTCAACAGTTTAACAGCATCTAAGTACATGGAAACCAGAAAAGAACAAATGATTTCTAATCTTGTAATTGCTTTTTCACCAATAGGATCCAGTCACAAATCTTTGCTATGGCAGTGCCAAATATACTGGAGGAGTTTGCTTAAATCACGGACATTTTTTATTTCAATCATCCACATCATATCCAATATTCATCAACTGTAAGTAACAACAGGGCTTTGTACGACTCCACTTTTTAAAGTGCCCTTATCCTATCTTATCATTAAGGCTGATAAAAAAGTAATAAGGTTTTTTTCCAGTTTTCCCCATGAGACCCAATTAAATTAAATTTTAAGTCAAGCTGAGGTGGCATTCCATGACAGGCATAAAAAGAAGCACTACTGAAGTGATTCCAACAAAAATGAAAAGTTTGCCAAGTATTTATAGCTGTAAAGAGGAGATAAAGAGGTTTCGGAAAAGCACCTGCATGTGTGTGCATGTGTGTGTGTGTGCGTCTTTGCATTCATTCACATGCTTGTCTGAGGGTCCATTATTCCAACTGTCTGCTATTCCAAAAATTAAACGAGCTTTGATCTGAAATCAATCATTGTTTGAGCTTATGTGTACGCGTACAGATAGCAAAATGGGGCATAATACATATAGGGCTGTACATGTGTACTCTGCTGCAAGGGATTGCTATCTTATTGCAGTTTGCCATGCCTTCAAAGTAGGGGCCCCTCAGAATAGTGGGCATTGGCTTTGGAACAGCAGATCCTTGGATAACAGACCCTAGGAGTATAAAAGTGCCCCCATCTGTGCACACATGTACCTGCATGCATTTGATTGCTGGAGTCAAGGTATTTGTGGGATGGAGTATTTTAGGATGTGTTCCGTTTCTTTGGGGTAAGGGAGGGGGAGGAGGAGGGGAAAGGGGATAATCCTAGAATGTGAGCATCATCTACCCCATTTCCTACTTCAATTTCAAGTTATTCAACATGAACAAAGAGGGTCACAAAACCCTGGAACCATTGCATTACTCACCTGAACTTGCGGGCTGGAAGTCTTCATAACTCCTGGCAGCACTGGTACTGAAAGCAAAGATCAGAAATAATGTTAGTATTGCTGTCATGGTTAAAACAATATGTCCACAGTAATGTCTCCAATATCACGACAACTTCCTGCAGGGAATTAATGTTCTGTATTAGTAATTAGTCTGAAGGCACTGTCTCTTGTTGCAAGGAACACACTTCCTCTATCTGGTGACAAAAAGGCTCCTACTGTACTTTCTCAGTTTGTCATTTCCTGACATTGAAGCTCAGAGGGTGACAATATAAAAAAGATAGGAAACCATGTCAAAGTTAATAAGGTTGATCTCTTCATTAATTCTATGGAAACAGAAAGCTGGTTCACCAATCCCTTGACAAATTGGCTGCCAAAAAAATTGTTAGTCATATGTGGCTCTGTTTCACATTGTTGTGTGTTGCAATCCTCTCTTGTTTTACCGGAGCATTTTTCCTGCCTGTATAATTCAAAGCAATTAAACTCAATGTTAGCATGCTGTAAAGTTAACCTTCCCAGACAACTCTGTTCTCCTTCGTTCCACTGAAATAAGATCCAATTTGTCCTACTCCTGTGCCTAATTCCATTTATTTATAAACGCCCAAGCGTAACAAACTCAGCCAAGTAAAACTAGCATGAGGCCATCATGTGAAATCTTTTTAGCTTCCTAAATCTTGCTAGTTTCCAGGGTATTTGGGCATGGGCAGTCTGCAAGATATGCAGCAAAAATATTTGCCCCGTTTTCATATAAAGTGGCTATATTCAACTAGTTTCTTTTGCTCTAATGACATCTCCCAAATCACTCCTCAACCAGTCATGTAGAGGCAAGCACACTTCTAACGCCAAGAGCAACATTGAATTAGACACAATGCCAAGTTGGATAAATCCTATTTTCCACTGAAAATCACTGCACTGTTGCTAGACTGTGTTCAATTGGATTTTCTGATGAAGTTTCCAGTGCATGGCCACACATCAGGTGGCTGGAGTCACCTCCTTGCGTAACTTCATCTTGGTCTTAATACTGCAGCTTGATAATCCGCTTCTGTTACCGCAATCCCTTTCATTTATTCTACCAATATTTTAACTTTAAAAACCCCAGATGCCTCCTCCCTCTGACCACAGCCAATTTTTACTGGTGGAAAACACCTAAGGGGAATTAATGCTCACATTGAGTGCGAATCAAATTACTTCCACAAACATTTTCCTAGAACAGATACATGATGTTCATTCATCCGAGTAAATCTTCAGGTCCATATAGTCCCTTGCTACCTCAATATTCTGTGTGCTGTATGGAATGGTGTGGAGAGGCAGATGGACTGACCACATTGATTCCTGGGGTCCCAAAGAAAGGCTAAACCATAGTGTTGAGTGATATGCATGGATGTAGCAGACAAAACTGACCACCCTCTCACCACTGACCAGACGTGTTGCCCACCACACAATGTTATTATGTTCTCTCCTAGTGTGTGTGACCAGAGGCCAACCCTTTCCTGTAGCTAATCACAAAGGTTTCCATGGCTTCTGTCTTATTCTTTTCTAAACCCATGTGGTGGTGTGGGATATTTGGGATCTTCTAAAGTGGGAATTGTGGCTTCGCCTTCCCATGTGCTCCTACCCACTACAGAGTGAGGTTGAGAGTAATGGAACGGCCAACTGAGAAAACACTTCAGTGGTACGGCTTCAGGTTTCTTAGTAACAAAGGTGTTATATACAAACTGGACCCCATGCTGGCCTACATGTCAAACAAACCAACTTTATAACAGTTCACAGATAGGCTGATAGGCAAAGACGTAACTTGAAAAAGACTGAGAAAAAAAAACCTACTGGTCTTGACAGATATACGGAAGGGATGAATCAGTATATTTTGGCAAAGTAAACAAATATATTACAAATCGTACACAAATTCCCTTAAGTGCTCTAAATCCATTTAACATCCATTTAAATTTATTCTTTCTTGGGAGTTACTGGCAAAGGCACAGGAAGTCAGTTGTGTGGCCATATAGCAAACTATATTAGACATCTAGAGGAAGGCATTGCCAAAATGAACAGTGAAAAGTGGATTTTGAGAGCATTTTTCAAGGCTGATTTCAGACTGTATAGTTCAACATTCTTAGTACTACATTTTTGTATATATCCATATGAAGATGATGTGGAAAAGAAAGCAAAAAAGGAAACTGGGCTGCCCTGCCCATAAAGAAGAGAATCTCCAGAGACGCACAATGGCAAATTTGATTCTTTTTTTTTTTTCATGACGTCATGTGCCTGATGGGAGGCTTCTTTGAACAGCATCTAAGGATGGACTGCTCTAGCTGCCCTATTTGATAAAATTCAATCAGTAAAGCCCATTATAATGCATTAAATGTATCCAAAATATTGCCTTCATGGTTAAAATAACATAAAATGACTCATAGTTAAAAAGGAAATATTTATGCAGTTTTATAGACATTCACTAATGTGAATTAGAACATTGAATATTACCTATCCTGCTTCTTCCAACCCCACCCCCTATCTCCGATATTAGGACATTTTATAGAATAACATCTTGTTCTCACAGATCCATTCAATACTAAAAAATAACTGCTTTCATAAGAATCAGATAAATCTTAACATCAGTAAAAAGACTAATGTACAGGTACCTTTTACAGAAATGAAGTTTTTTCATTAATTAGAATCTTGTTGATCGAGTGGATATCTGGGAAAATGATGAATGAGTACAGCCAGATTTAGACCGACTTGTCCCCAAGCCTGGTAATCATGGTAATTGAAATAAAATGCCAATGAAATGGCAAAACATTGATTTTTACCACTTTCAAAGCTGGTTTATTGTGTCTTGGAAAAATTTCACAAATGAGGCATTTATCATTACTTCAGCAGAGCTGCACATAAGGGTAGATGATATGACTGTATTGTGGAGATTTAACAATGAAAGAAGTATCATACATTTTATATGCTAGCAATGAGTATGGTGGCCCTTTGTTCTAAGTGACAATATATGAGACTGTAACAGTTAGCTATGAATATTTCATTAATAAGTGATTGTAATGTAACCAAGAAAATAATCTGGCATGGCAAACTTTTTTACTTTTATGAAAGAAAGTCTTAGAAAATAAGGAATTATTATTATTATTATTATTATTATTATTATTATTATTATTATTATCTAACATGTCCCTCAACCCAGAAGAGCAGCTTGTATTCCTGGCCTGATACTGGACCAGCTGATCAGCTGATATGCATTCAGATCCTTCAGCTGGAACCAGCTGCTGAGGTTAATTGCTTTGTCTTAAAAAGAGCACTCCAACAAATACAAAATAGCAAAATAATCAGTAATAACACATTTGCTCGTTTTAGACTCTCAAGTCTACAATCAAAGACACTTTGGATTACCCACATGGGTAATAAAATGTCTTAATAGAACTTTCTTCTTGGATATTATAGGCATTTCTTACTTGGTGGGCAAATGAAACCCTACTTTACCAGTCACCTTACAGATGGGAAAGTGACTATCTGCAGGAAATAAATTCCAGAGGCAACCTTCATGTGACATGGGGTTTTGCAGGGAAATTGGAGGTCAAACGCTTTGACATTTGAAATTATTTTTCTACTTTTTTTCAGGTTTTTATTGTTTAGATTTTAATCTTGCTATTATTATTATTATAATCACATGCACATGTGCATAACAACATCTTTTTACTTCTCATCAGCAAGAGGAATTTTATAACTTTGGCAGATTTCTATTTTTGGCAGTGTGAGCAGTGGTTACTCTGTTAACGGATATCAATAAATTGTGGTCTATTAGGTACCTATTAGTACAATATCAAGATATCAAATTCAATGATGAAAAGAACAGGTTAAACTGTGATATTGGCTTAATTGCCATCATATCACTTAATAATTCAAGTTGTAAGCTAATTCTGACTGAAATCATTCTAACACTGCATCTGCACTATCATGATATTACAGCTGTATCTTAATACTAACCATCTCCAGTCAGCTTAATTATCATCTGACAATCCAGCTAGGCGACCTTTTGGAAAATTAACTTATCTGCTCAATTTGAAGAATTAGCATTTATATCCATCATCCTTTATTGGATTTTTGAAGTTATTGTTACTTTCAGCCCAGTCAGGTAGAGACATTCAGAATACCAACACTGTCACAAAACACTGTGAATGGTGCTAATTCCGATTTCAGTCTCGAGGCAGCCATGTGACAGCCATTCTTTTCCTTCAAGCTTTGACGGCTGGAAATTATCCTGGGAAATCATCATGTTTTGATGTATGAAAACTGCGACAAAGTTCAGTCCACAATGATTGCCAATTATCACCATATTCAATTTAGCCAGAACTGAGCCAGATGCAGTTGAGGAGGATATGAATCTTGTGAGGTGGTACAGGAAAAGCTTATTACTACCTGGAGACATGCTGAAAGTACAGACAGTGATGGACATCATATCTGTCAACCAGTCTAGTCAGATCTGTTGCCTGTCTGTGTGTTCATAATTATAATGTGCTGTGCATATTTGCCTTAAGACAATTGGAAATTAAACACAATAACAGCTTTTCACTTTTTTCAGACAATTTTCTGTAATTATTATTTTTTTTCCTAAATTAAAAATCAGGGAAATTAACAACCATGGGGCAGACTTATTGCTAATTCAATTAACCAAGTGTTTTGATCCACAGTGTGTTCTGATTTGATAATAGTCTATATTTGCTGTATATTACTAAGTCAACATCTAATGCTGGTCTTTTGTGTCTAGTTTTTCAATAGTCCCACGGCCATCAGAGTCAAAGCCGGAAACAAAAGAGCAGGAGATCTGGCTCAACTCCCTCTCCACTTTGGGGATGAGTTTACGTAGCTATCTGTTTAATGGAATGAGAAGATATTGGAAAGCACGCCAATCTGCATATAATTTTACAGTTCACCAATGCTGTCTGGAATAATGGATTAATCATTAAAGGCTTCACACTTTCTTTTTTATCTCAAATATCACCCTTAAACTGGCAACTAAATGCATTTTTAAAGAGAGGAGGGACGTCATTTTTCTTGTGGCAAGAAGTCAATCACATATCTATGCATGACTGGGCCTAAAGACAAGTATTTCCACTTAAGAGAATGAATATTATTTCATGTTGAATCCATTCCCTAAGTGCCATCCTTGGGATTGGACTTTTTCTCTGCCCAGTGAAGCTCTTCAACTGAACAATTATCTTCTCTTTCATATCAGCACCTATCATGCAATGCATGTCGAAATTTTGAGCTGCACCACATGCAATTTCAAGTGCAGTAAGGAATAGATTTACCTTCACATTTACCTTCATACCTCCCCCCTCCTCTTTATCCTATGCTGTGTCTGTATGGAACCTATAACAGGAAAGAAATTAAGATTGGCTTCTCTCTTATACCCCTTCCCCCCCCCCCCAATCCCCAACACACATGCACATCCAAACTCATTTTTTTTTCACCCAACTTAATATTCAAATCGAGCAAAAAAATGAACAAAAAAAAAAAAAAAACTATTCTGACAAAACTTTCTTTAACAATAGTCCCCTCTATTGTGTGTAATTTTTTTCTTGGTCCCAATTCGTCTCAAATCACTCAGAGTAAACCCAGCTGCAGACAGGTTCTGTAACACAATCTTCTCCTTCCTCCTCCATTGCCCTCCCACCTGCATTTGAGGGCATGCAGGAATAATACAGTAGTCAATAATTAATCAGCTTACCTCATGCAGTATTTATAAGAAGGATTAGTTGGTATTGAACTTTAAAAAGGAGACCTATGAATATATACGATTGTGAAGGGAACAGTCTTCTGTGATGTGATTAGTTTGGATTGTTCAAATATAACCTGGGCGGAATATCTCTTAATCCTAATCAAACACACACAAGAAGATGGGTTTAAAATATATCATATTTCATAGAATTTTATTTCCCAGCCCCACATGCAGTACAACTTCTTCTTTAATTTGATAAAGGTGATTTTTTTTTCGGAAGCAACCTTTCACACCTGCTCTCTGTGATAAAGATCCAATAGCCTAAAATGGAAACTTTTTACAACCTATAAATAATAAAAAATCAGATCAAAAGTGACAGATTTACAGCATCAACAAAAAAGATAACACACAAGTCATGTTCTCTACACATGCACTATCTTGCATCTAACTCATCAGTAGCATTTCATTAGCAATCACATAAATATCACTGAACCATCAAACTTGAAATATGTGCAGAGGAAATTTGGTTGAACTTGTTTTTTTTTTCAAAAACCACAGATAAACCTCCTCAGTGGTGTAAGATTGCTTTAGTTTTAACAAATTTTCCAGGTGTTTCCTCAAAACAACAAAGCTTCTTGTCCTGGCGTGTTTGGACACTCAGTCAGGAAACACACAGCCTTCCTGATAAATCCAAACAGCAAGGCCAGGAAAATCCATCCATTACCCATGGTCAAAGACAACACATTTTGATTTGATTGCAAGTGTCTGAGTAGGATCAGATTATATAAGATACCAGTATTGATTAGGCTATCTTGATGACAAAACCAAGATGAAGTTGATTACACCATGCTATTTAATCATTATTGATACAGGCAGGCTCTGTGAGCCTGCACCCAAGTCCTGTATTTGTACAGGCAATGAAACAGCGATACATTATCAAAATACCTCTGTAATGATCTATAAAACATAATAAAGCAGCAATTACAATTACAGTAAATTAGATACAGGAGGAAGATGTCATTGTTCTCTCCACTTGATGAGGATTAAACCACCTATAAATTACAATCTTGGAGCAATCAGATTGATTAACTGCTTTCTTCGATGATGACTAATGTTTGAAAAGTATTGGACGATTCTGAAAAGATTCATGAATAAAAAATTATAAACCCTAAAATCACTTAAGGGTTGTTTAAGAAGCATAAAATGGACGTTAATCATATAGTCATGATAACAATACAGCAAAGCTGAAACATGTGCAGACATTCAGCTGTAAAAAATATACTGAAAGTAGTATAGGTTATGGCTAGAAGTTGTACAGTCTATTTCACCAAATTATACAGCAAAATGAATCCTGGCCATTTCAGAAATTCATACCCAAATACCAAGAAAAACTAAGTTTACTCAAAAAAAGACTTAACTGACTTAACAGTTCGCATTAAAATAATAGGTCACTTACTAGAAAAATGTGAAAAAAATGAAAATGTTCTTTTTCAAAACAATAAAAACTGTGACAAAATTTTTGAAATGTTCAGACAATACAAATTCACAAACATCACTTGCTTTTGTGCCAAATATTTGCATTAAAACAAAAATGCGGTAAGGCATATTATGAGACAAGCAATAAAAATATATGAAAATGCCAGAATGACTAGAATAACTTACATTTTTGCCAATAAACTGAAACTGAAGGAAGAATTGCATTTAACAGGAACTGGAACAGCACTGACAGGACAAACAAAGGTGATCAGAATAATAGACATATACAGTGTTTTTATATAAAAATGTGATATCCCATCTTTTTTATATGGTACCATTTCTTTGTTGGAAAAAGTTTACAGCACCACTAAACTCAAATGACCTTTTGAAACATCACAGCTGTCTATAAACTAAGAACTTTTATTTAAATTTAGGCTTTATTGTATCAAAATATAGTTTTGTGACTGTTATAGTAAACTATCTTTTTAAGACATTTAATAAAAATAATGGTAAAAAAACTGCAATTTGAGATTATGCACATATCATAAAATATAAAAATTTAATTAATTTCAGTTAGGATCAGTAAAATTTAAAAACAAATCTTTAAAAGATGTTCAAATGGAGAATAAGTTAAGATTGACACTGAACACAAAGGAAAATTCAGTCAGTATCTAAACAAAATCCATATGACAGAATATTTCACAACAGTAATTTTGCCATAAAAAATGCGAAACTTACGGCCGCACATCTGAATCCCACACATAATCTTCATCATCTGCCATTATACAGCATATAGTCAGCATCACTGCAATGATAAAAACATGGGTCATAGTTAAACAACAGTGAAACACACAGCCAAGATCACTTCAATTCAACACTAACAGTTGGTCCACAGTAAGCACAGACTGGTACATGACCATTTAATAAACTCTCTGGAGAAATAAGTCATCAGCCTATCAAAATTTCACACAACATGTCAGAAAAATTGGATCAACGTTTCTTTGAGCATAATTTAGGCTTTGTATGAAAATCTGTCCTATCTGTCATTGTTTTCAAAATGACACTGATTAAGGTCTTGGGGGCCAAAATTACATTTCCATTAAATTAAGTAACTTATTGGATTTGCAATAATATGGGAATTAAAGCTCAACCATCAGCAGACACGGTTCTGGAGGCTGAAACATATCGCAGGTAATAACCATTATTCTAAATTCCATTCACTTACAGGACATGGGTAGTCACTTAAATCTGGAGTCAACTGGGACTGGAGAGTTAAATCAGGAGCACTGATAGACCAAAATAACAGATGAAAATTACTTAGATAATTGATGACAGTGGGGCATATACACCGAGTTGTTACAGGAATGTACATAAAAACTGTTTTAACCAGTGTGATATTCATAAACCTTATCTTAAGTTATGCATACACACACCCATCAGCGCTGAAATTAAAAACCATTTCACTCTAAAATATTTTTTATACATGTGCATAAATATGTCATTAACTGGAAAAAACAACAGAATGATACAACACAGGTAGCAATCTTTTGGTTTTTAGTTCAGAAAATTCAACTAGAGACTGTAAATTGAATTTAGCAAACCTCAAAAGTTCACATCTGAGAGACATGTACTAAATTTGCAACCGATATCTCTAAAAGGTACTGAAGTGTGTTCTTGTTTATAAAATCAAATCATAAAGAGCAAAAAAGACTTCCAGTAGTGCGTAAACAGGTATAGATGTATATCCAAACCGCTTATAAAATGTTTGAAGTTGTCAGTATTGTGTAAAAGAAGTGGGATCATAAGGCCACCTGGTCTGCTATGAAATGGCACATTAAAAAGACATGTAAACTGTGATGCAAGCTTATCACAGAGATACTGTTACTTTACCCATTCACTAAAAGGTTTGGTGTATTAGAGAGATTGCCTTACATCAAAGAGAAATAATCTTGGCTGCATATTATAAAAGAATCATATTCACTGCTATGAATTAATGAAGTTTTGTATATTGAGAGAATTCAATATTCAATATTAGCTGAATTCCCTTTTTGCACAAATATGCCCTAAATATGTTTACTTTTAACATAAATGGTGGGTTTTTAATGGCCAGACATTCTAAGGCCAGGCAATCGTCTCTTTTCAAATCCTTTTCTGAAATGACAGAGCCACACACCTCCTAAAAATCTTTCTAGCCCAACCACCATTTGAAGGCATTTCCACTTAAAATCTTTGACAGTTTAACCAGATCTTCTAAGGATCCTTATCTTGACAGCCTGGTGGTAACTTGCAGTGGTATTCTGCAAATCTTTCAAAGTGTTTTATGAATTATCTTTTATCTGCAGGAAATCACTCAGGCTTCCTACTTCCTCAGGAGTCTGGAGAGGGATCATCCCTTCATCCACATAATCTTTATCCAGTTAACCTTTTTATACTAGGAGCATCTCACAACCACTTTGGACTCATCAAACCTCTCATCCCACACTAACTAGAACTCAGGAGAAGCAATAACCAAGAGCAGACAGCTATTTCAAAAATGCTAAGATTTGACTGGTTTTGTATGGCTACCCTTAAAAGAAAGTTGCCAACAAAAGATGGAGACAGCCAAAATACTCTCTTTATGTTACAATGAGGAGGGCTCTTCTTTCCTACTATTCCCTTCAAATGAGATAATGACAGGGACAAAGCCCACGTAAGCACACAGCCAAGTCTAACATGCACACTTCACTTTTCAACACATCCAAAAATCCCCTGTATTGACTATAATAAAAGACATGTCTGCCTCATTATAAGGCAAATTATTGAGCACAATTCCAAAGCCATCCAGTGTCAAAAGAAGCAAACTTCTCAGATGACAACAATAAATTCCAGCTCCCTTAGCAGAAGCAAGAGAATCCAGTCAGAACAATTGATCTCCTGAGTCAAAAAATCAGCATGGGCAGTGAAATATGGCAGTGAGGTTCCACATGGCTGGTCAGACTGATGATATAGCTGGGGTAACTGGAGACCTCCAACTCCACACATTACAAGACTCCAAACCAGCACTAAATTGTTGACTTCCACACACATTACCAGGGCAAAATTTCACACACTGTGCTATTCAGGAATGGTAGGCAATGTTTTTTTTTTTTTTTTTGTCTCATTCCATAGGAGAAGGAAAAAGATCCAAGAACGAGTGTCCGATATATCACCACATAAAAGGTTAATGACCATCACAGACATTGCTCTTACACCAAAATTTACCTTTTTTTTTTTCAGTCTTCAAAGATGACTCTTTTTGTATGGGTTGTGTAAGTTTTCAGCCACACTGTGTGAAGTACATAAAAAGCAATGGGTATCTATAGGTCAAAGTTTTTAACCAAGTTTCTAGGAGAATCAATCTGTCATGTGGACTTAAAAAACTTTCCACCTGTTTGTTTATGCAGATAAATGAGGGGATAAGATTGAATAAATGTGTGAAAAGAAGTGGTGGAGGCCTATTTAGTTACCCTTTTAAGTTCCTGCTAATGTGTTTCCAAGTCCATAAAACTGTCCTCCCAGATTCTTCAGCAATGTAAAAAAAAAAATTTTTTTTTTTTTTTTGGGGGGGGGGGGGGCAAACTGGCCCATTTCTGGGCAATAAGATATCATAAGACTTTGCAACAAATATTTGGTCTTCTGTGCAATGTTGCTAGAGCTGAACTCTTTATTCCTCAATTTTTTACAATTCTACTATTAGTTCCTAGATTCACCAAGAATATTCTGACAAAGTCTTACCAAGCAAAAACATAGCTGTTTTAAAAAATAAAATGATACCATTTGTGAAACTTTTACATAGGGTTAATAAAATATATATATATTTGTGGAGTCCAAAGAATTGGTCAAGGTTATAAATAATCTGACCACCATTATTATTTGGAGCAGTGCTCTTTCAAATATCACTTCAATCATAGATGACCAGTTTGTCCCAGGGATCAACTTTGAAAGAACCTTGCTGTGAATTTTATGAAAATCAAACTTGACTACTGCTGATATCTTTACTTATGCCCTGGGACAAGGAAAACTAGAAAAAAATTTATCACCATCTGCTCCAGACTTACACCCTCACTCTCATTCTCTCACAGATAGCGGGAGTCAATCAGACAGATAGATAGAAGGAAAAAACTCAGTTTCTTAAAAGAAAAAAATGATACAAAAAATAATAATCTAATATTTCTCCCCAACTGTGAGAAAATTCATTATTGTCATTTCTCATACACTCCTCTAGCAGCGGACACATGAATAATGTATCACTTGTTCTAAAGGTAATCTGACTAATTAAGAAGGAAATCAATATGGAAATACTGATTACTTGGAGCTGGCATATTTCTTCCACAGTAGTAACTCAAAAGGGTGTCATTCTGGTTCACCAAATTTGATTTTAATCAGTATGCAATAGTTACATTAAGCATATGAATTATTAAAGAACAAGCTGAAGTGAAATGTGATTTCTGTGAATCTTTTAAAATAATGATACTCAAAACACCCTTTAAAACCCTTCATTTTATGAAGCAGTGAGTTTTTATGTCTACAACATAAATGCATAATACAGCAACCATTAAAAACAGCTCTTGAAGGAGACAGTTTGGATGGTTTCCACAGGTGCACTGGAAGGTAACACTACTTCTTTTACTGCAAAAGCGCAATTTGCATTTATGGGGCAGGCACATTGGTGATTGATCAGCAACGATGGTCTCATTACCAACTTCCTTACATAAAAAATAATAATGATAGGCGTTTTGGTCTTTGGTGTGGTTTTGTATGAAAGTGGTGTCCGTAACATTTATCTAATCAACAGCAGAGAAATGTAACAGAAATCCAAGAAACAGAAGTTGTTCAGTGACATAATAGCAACCATTCATCAAAATCAATCAACAGAAGGCAACGTTACATCAAGACTAGTACTGCCAAGACAGTCGTATATACATCTCAAGTGCTTGTTGCCATGGCAATCAGCCTTGAGGGGGGCAGGTGTAGGATGTCTGGCCAATCTTCCTTACAACCTTATTAAACAACCTTTCAATTAGTGACATTGTCCACACCAACTTAAAACTGGTGTTGCCATGGCAATCAGTCACACCTGAAGGATTTAATATTTCCTAAGATTGGATTGTGCTCTACTCAAAGCTTTTATTAGTGGTTCTTATTGTGTAAGCAGAAAGCTATACGAGCTTCAATTGCAGTTGTTTTTGTAAATATAAACCTTCCCAAACAGGTAAAATGAGAGCACTAGAAGATGGTTTATATTTGACTTTCGAAAAAGCGAACCCACCTTTAAACATGCGTAAACAACAGTATTCATACCGGATACGCCTTGAGTTTAAGAGAGAGAAAAAAAATAAGACAACATGTAGTAATGATCACAGACAGAGGAACTGACCCTGGCAGTTAACAGCTAGATACAGTGACCAGGATGCCAGGAATCAATATAATCTACTTTGTGATCAGCACAAATGAATATCTTTCCCAGAAATTCATAGCAATTTCCAAGAGCTTTCCTTTGTCAGACTAAGCTAGCGGTCTCATCCTTCTGAGAGAGTTTATTGTGAAGAGCTTATCTAAAGACATGCAAATGAAAGAAATGCACTGAAAAATGTAAGTCTGAAGAATCAATAAACATAAACAGCTAAAGGTCAAATGGTGATGCCCTGAAATTTTTATCTTTGTAAAAGGAATTTGTTTAAAAGATGTTAAATTTTGAGCCCATGCATTTGATTCTGAATTATAATAAGTTTCAATCTGAACAAATTTCATATCTTACACAGGAAATATGTTTTTGTTACTGTCCTT